TATTTTGAGCATCTGATGTTTTTTTTTTTGCAGTAAAGTGTGTGGTATGATTGGAATGTTACATTGACAAAATCAAAAAAAAAAAAAAGTATTGTGGTTATGTTTGAACTACAAATTTGCAATGATTTTCTGGCATCAAAATGCCCCTTTACATCTTTTAGCAAAGTTTCTTATTCATTTTGCTTTGACTTGTAAATGATTTGTTAAAATGGTGATTTGAAACTGATTGTGACTTGTTTTCATTTGTAGTTTTATTTTAGTTAGATGCGTCACAGTTTATTTGAAGGGCATTTTCTTCATCTTTTCTGCCTTGCAAAACTTTGCAAGCACACGTTTGTTAAAAAGACAAAACAAACAGACTCGAGGCCACATCGGGGTTTTTTAAAAATTCGACTGTAAATGCTTCTTTGTTCTCACAATGTAAAGTTGTTCTAGCAATCACAGCCTTATCTAACACACCTTTCAGGAGCCATACAATCACATAGAACTGACCGCTGTCCTGCTCTAGTATGTTCGGGAAATAATATTTTATTTGCAGGACTTTGTTGAATTCTTTGATGCAGCTTTTTTCTTGCAATATCAACGTTGTCATTAAATAAATGCATTATATTGCACATACCTTAATACAATATTGAATCATTTTAATTTCTCAATATGTCCAAGCATTTCAATCATGACCGCCCCCCCCCATTTCAGTAAAGGGGTTAGTTGATATATATGTATATATATACAGTGGGTACGGAAAGTATTCAGACCCCCTTAAATTTTTCACTCTTTGTTATATTGCAGCCATTTGCTAAAATCATTTAAGTAAATTTTTTTCCCTCATTAATGTACACACATCACCCCATATTGACAGAAAAACACAGAATTGTTGACATTTTTGCAGATTTATTAAAAAAGAAAAACTGAAATATCGTGGTATCTAGTACAGTCATCTGTAAATATTTTTATTTTCTCAGGGGGTTTTTTCACACTGCAAAAAACGATTCTCTTGTTTTCTAGTATAAATATCTACATTCTTGAATCAAGATGAAGTTACTGTACAATTAAAATGACTTAAGATATGTCATGCTCTGTAAAAAATATAATTTTGCTTAAAACTAGCACAAATATCTACCAATGGGGCAAGAAAAATAATCTTGTTTAGCCTTTGAATTAAGATGATTTTTCTTACCCCATTGGTAGATATTTTTGCTTGTTTTAAGCAAAAACTAAAATTTTGATAATTTGTTTTTAGAAAACAAGACTTAATATATTAAATATTTTTACTTGTCAAGTAAATGCATCTTGATTCATATTTAACATAAATGGTTCATAGAGCATAATTTTCAGCATTATATATGGTATCTAGTACAGTCATCTGTAAATATTTTTATTTTCTCAGGGGGTTTTTTCACACTGCAAAAAAATGATTCTCTTGTTTTCTAGTATAAATATCTACATTCTTGAATCAAGATGAAGTTACTGTACAATTAAAATGACTTAAGATATGTCATGCTCTGTAAAAAATATAATTTTGCTTAAAACTAGCACAAATATCTACCAATGGGGCAAGAAAAATAATCTTGTTTAGCCTTTGAATTAAGATGATTTTTCTTACCCCATTGGTAGATATTTTTGCTCGTTTTAAGCAAAAACTAAAATTTTGATTATTTGTTTTTAGAAAACAAGACTTAATATATTAAATATTTTTACTTGTCAAGTAAATGCATCTTGATTCAAGAATGTTTAGATATTTATACTAGAAAACAAGACAAAAATACTAAGAAAATCTTTTTTTGCAGTGCACTGATTTTCTGTGACTAACATACAGAGCACATAAAATAAAAAAATAATTATAATTTAAAAAATGTTTACATGCACACAATAAACTTTTTTTGCATGCTGACACATTACAATTTCTAGTTTTATATAACCAATTTCCTTTGTGCATCACTGCCATCTTGCTATGAATAAAACAAGAGCATGGATGCACATGAATTAATAGAGATCTACTTGCTCAAAATTTGTCTTTTCTTATGGTAGTACCTCTAATATCAAGGCCTAATGTCCAATTTAACACATCCTCTGTGGCTGCACAGAAACCATAACACGAAATGAACTGATGGCATAAAATTTGCCAAGTTCAAGGGTTTATAAGACTGGTACTGTAAAAGAAGAAAAAAAAAGTGTTTAAAATTTGACTTTCATGAATTTCAAGGTCTTACTATCTTTAACGCATACATTGTGGAGGCCAAGAAACTACACCACGAAATGGGCTGATGGCACAATATGTGGCTCAGCGTGCACGGTCCTATATGCTAAGTTAAATGATTTCTCGTGCGCACATAAAAGTCTGTAAACATTATATTTTTGCAAAAGTCCTTAATAGTTATGCACATTTTGTTAGTAAAGCCGGTTCTGTAATCAGCAGGAAATCATCATCACGTGCTTTCAGATGGAGCAGCATTTACTACACATAGCCGTAGTTCACTGACAAGTTACACAAAAAAAAAAAATCGCAGATGATTTTATTGCGCGATTCTGAAATTGAAGAAATCGTTGGCGATAATGACATCTGTTTGCGTAGCTTCTCAGTGAACTCCGGCTCTGTGAAGTAAATGCTGTTCCATCTGAAAGCATGTGAAAATACCACATTTAATAACATATTTTTACTCCAAACTCACTTCATAACGTCAGTCGAGTGTTTGAAATAAATCCTTCTGTGAGATGCTGTGGCTTCTTACACAGAATAAGGCACGCAACATATTTCATATACTTGTCAAGTAAATGCATCTTGATTCAAGAATGTTTAGATATTTATACTAGAAAACAAGACAAAAATACTAAGAAAATCTTTTTTTGCAGTGCACTGATTTTCTGTGACTAACATACAGAGCACATAAAATAAAAAAATAATTATAATTTAAAAAATGTTTACATGCACACAATAAACTTTTTTTGCATGCTGACACATTACAATTTCTAGTTTTATATAACCAATTTCCTTTGTGCATCACTGCCATCTTGCTATGAATAAAACAAGAGCATGGATGCACATGAATTAATAGAGATCTACTTGCTCAAAATTTGTCTTTTCTTATGGTAGTACCTCTAATATCAAGGCCTAATGTCCAATTTAACACATCCTCTGTGGCTGCACAGAAACCATAACACGAAATGAACTGATGGCATAAAATTTGCCAAGTTCAAGGGTTTATAAGACTGGTACTGTAAAAGAAGAAAAAAAAAGTGTTTAAAATTTGACTTTCATGAATTTCAAGGTCTTACTATCTTTAACGCATACATTGTGGAGGCCAAGAAACTACACCACGAAATGGGCTGATGGCACAATATGTGGCTCAGCGTGCACGGTCCTATATGCTAAGTTAAATGATTTCTCGTGCGCACATAAAAGTCTGTAAACATTATATTTTTGCAAAAGTCCTTAATAGTTATGCACATTTTGTTAGTAAAGCCGGTTCTGTAATCAGCAGGAAATCATCATCACGTGCTTTCAGATGGAGCAGCATTTACTACACATAGCCGTAGTTCACTGACAAGTTACACAAAAAAAAAAAAAATCGCAGATGATTTTATTGCGCGATTCTGAAATTGAAGAAATCGTTGGCGATAATGACATCTGTTTGCGTAGCTTCTCAGTGAACTCCGGCTCTGTGAAGTAAATGCTGTTCCATCTGAAAGCATGTGAAAATACCACATTTAATAACATATTTTTACTCCAAACTCACTTCATAACGTCAGTCGAGTGTTTGAAATAAATCCTTCTGTGAGATGCTGTGGCTTCTTACACAGAATAAGGCACGCAACATATTTCATAATATTTAAGCAGTGATAAAGGCATTGCAATATAAATATACTTTATTTTAATGAAAATTATAATAAGAACTCGGATAAACCGTGTTTATTAGTCACGTTGAATCAATGAAAGCAGTTGAATCTTCTGTTTATTCAGCTGCAGCGATAGCCATTTTCTGGGTTTCTTCTTCGGGGCATATTTGGAGTTTCAGCGCGAGAGCGCCCTCTGGCCTTTGGATGGAGATTTACTGCTGATCACAGAACCGTGCTTCACTGAAAGATACGCATGACAATCGCAGCTTTAATTTCGATTTATTGTGCAGCCCTAGTCCTTAAGGCTATGTAATATGGTGCTAAGAACATTGTGAGAAGAAACCCAAAAACCTGCATTTTGCATAATGAAAAAGTGCACCTTGAATTCATTCAGTTGTATTTTGACTTTGACGTCTTGTACAATAAATATATTTTCCTTAAATTCTTAATTTTCTATTATAAAAAATACTAAATGTGGGCAAAAGTCTGGAAAAACACATACTTTTTGACCTGGAAAATACTTTTCCAAACCCCGTAGGAGCCCTGAACCATGCAACGGCAAGAATGCAAAGTTTTAAAAGACTTGTTTTTTAACTCTTTTGTGCCAGGTGAAACTGATTTAGAGAGCTAAGGTAAAAGGTCTGCTTCAGACACTCACGCTGTATGCGGCGAGTCTAGCGCATGCGCATGTGCAGACTGTGCTTGGGCCCGTCCACTCGCTCCAGCTTCTCAAAGTGTCTCCTGGCGTTCCTGATGTTGATGAGCGTGGCAGCAGACGCTGGAAGAGAGTGAGAGGGTTTGCTCTGAGACACAATGTGCTTTCCTTCAACGTTATTTGGAGTGCAGACGGAGGAACACTGCTAGTGAGACCACGGCTGAGTGTCATGTGGGATTGGTAAAACCTGCAGGTTGATGCTTACGTATGGACGGGTCTGACATGATCACCATGACGTAGGTGTTGGACGTGAACACGTCGATAAAGGCGGCGAAGTTAGAGTTGCGCACCTCCATGCTCTGGAAAGAGGCGGCCAGTTTACTGAGGAACAGACAGAAAGGTCAGAATTACCCATGATGCTGTTCAGCGCTGAAAACTACATGAATGGAGTGCGACTGACCTGCAGCTCAGCTTGAACTGCTTGATGATGTTACTGATCTTCTCGAAGCGATGAGCATCACGCTGCTCCTTACACTGATAATGAGAGATCACCTGACACGAGAGACAGGTCAAATCATTAAGAGCCAAAGCTTCCCACAATAGCTATGTTTCCATCCAAAGATGCCAATTTAACTTATGCACAAAACTGGAATATTTCATAATACATTTGAGAATAAAGCACCGTTTCCATCCAACGAGTCTAAGAGAACAAACTCGTCACTTCCTGATAAACTGGCACTAAATATCTCCACTGAATATAATAATTTTCATATGTAATAAATGACTTCAGAGAGAGCAGATGCAACACAATAAATGCAGTCATTGCTTTTAGAGGTGGATGCCTGCTGTTTGGGAACGCAGTCATGTAAGACAGTAATTATACAGAAATACTTTGATGACTTACTTTCCTCAGGCATTTCAGAACGACCAAAACAACATATAGATGCTGTGAACGAGATCGGTCTGCTGGTTAGTCAATTTATCCCGTCTCATAGCGCAAAGTCACATGACTTTTTCAATGCGCATGGTGGAATTTATTCAGTAAGTGTGTTTCCATCATAGTTTGTGCATTTTTTCTTATCGGATAAAAAGTTTATCCTACTCAGTTGTGCGCGTACGTTTTTTCCGCGCATTTTTAGAATTTATGCGCATCTTGGCGTTTCCATCCAGCGGTTTTTTTTATGCGATAATCCAAAATGCGCATAAAAATAGGTGGATGGAAACATAGCTAATAACATCTCTGGGTTTGCCACCCAATTCAAAGTCAAGGGGCAGACCTTTCCACTTCAAACCAAAGAGATGAAAAACGCCATCCAATAACATTCTCTTTCATCTTAATGGAAGTTGCTTGGCTGGAGCATTAAACTCCAGATTTTACAAAGACAGTCATTTCTGCTTACATGATCCAAGAACCGGAGCTGTAGTATGACTGCAACTATTATTCTGATAATCTACCAAGTTTTTGACTCTGGAGCAGTATGAATGTTAAACCAACACAATGTTGAAACACACGTTGAAGAGCGACCTGTTATACCCCGTTCTGAGCCTCCAGTGGGCACATGTTTCTGGCCTCTGATCACTGGGAACAGTGGCTGATAGAGTTTGACTAAAGCTGTACATCTGTCAAACAGTAACTGGTATTTTTGCATTTCGCGTTGCATGTTTTCAGAGAATGTACTGTGTTAGATTATGTCCTGAATCTGGATGAGATTTCTGTGTTTGACAGAGAACAGGTTTTGTGTTTTGCATGTTCACTCGCTCATCGCATTTCACTGAAAATCTGCTCTCAAACCTTCCTTTTGTTGGCCTGCAACAAGCCCTCATTGGTAACACAGGAAAGGATGAACAAGGTAGATCATATTGTCCATTCAAGCTGTCCTGAAATGTGTAGTAAATAGTCTTGCAAAAAATGTCCAGTTTTCAAAGCGTTGGAGGCTCAGTGCTACATGTTCTGATGGAAACTTAAGAAACTTCAGTCTGAGAAATGTAGGCTCTGAGTGGCATCTGCAGTTTCCTACAAAGCCAGAGAACTCTAGGGTGGAGGAGTTTGGGGCTGCTACATCTATGGAACACTATGTCAAAGACGGACAGACTGACAGCATCACAATCATAAGAGACGCTAATCTATATACTGAAATAGGTCTCCAAACTGAAGTCATTTGACATTTGCATGCATTCTGCTTGAAACTGCCATAGTAAAATGGCGTTATATGAAGCGTGCACATAGTGTGGGCGAGACCTGGTCATTCATTCTTATACATTTATTAAAACCAACCTTTCTATAGACAGGAAACAGTAATATTACAGCACAAGAAATGGCAATACATTTTCTTCTAATTATTTGAATGTTCTTTTCTTATGAAAACAATGGGAAAACATTAGTTATATGCTTTTGAATAATTTTCAAACATGTTTTTTCATGACTAAAGGGATTTCTGCGTGGTTCACATAGAATGCAATTTTGTTTTCATTATCAATTAATTGTTGCAGCCCTACAATTTCATTTTTATAGAGTTGACAAATACATTTAAAACTAGGATTTATTTTAGACGATGTTAAACTGAGCAAATGTAAAATGGCAAAATAGTCACAACATAAGGTCATAACCAAATTGTGCTGTGCCAGTTTGAATATCTGCAAGCAGTTATGTGTATGAATTATTTCAATTTGATACAAACCAGGAAAGTAGCTCTTTCAAAAAGCAAGACTTCATCTGCCTCAATTATCTGAGCAAAGTTGCGTAGGTTGCACTCGAGCTGCTGTACGTTAGGAATGAGCTGATAGACGATACTGGACCACGCCTGCAGACACAAACACACACGATACAAGTCCAGCTTCTGTCTGTCTGTTAATGCTGAGCAGTGCAGAGAAATGAACATGTTCTTACTTTATACAGCGTCTCGTCCCAAATAGACGTTCTGAAGCAGGTGCAGGCCAGCGGGCGAGACAGTCTTTTCAGGTCCTCCTCACGCTCTTTAAATATCTAAACCATCACAAACCAATTAACGGATATAAAATAACAGTACTTAAGGGGTCATATGATATTGCTAAAAAGAACATTATTTTGTGTATTTGGTGTAATTAAATGTGTTTATGTGGTTTAAGGTTAAAAAAACACATTATTTTCCACATACTGTACATTATTGTTTCTCCTCTATGCCCCGCCTTTCTGAAACGTGTAGATTTTTACAAAGCTCATCGGTCTGAAAAGCGAGGTGTGCTCTGATTGGCCAGCAATCTAGTGTGTTGTGATTGGCCGAATACCTCAAGTGTGTGACGGAAATGTTACGCCCCTTACCATATTGTGATGGAGTGACGAGACAAAAACATTAAAACCCATTATAAACGAGGCATTTTTTGCATCCAGTGGGGACATAATTATGGATTATAATTACTTATACTGTCTTTTTGCGCACTGCGTTGCATCACGCCGCGTAAACATAAAACCATGTCTGCATGTCCCGGCAGGCTTGAGTGAGCGGAGGCCGGCGGGCTTGAGTGAGCGGAGGCCGGCGGGCTAGAGTGAGCGGAGGCCGGCGGGGTTCAGAACGGCGCGGCCGGCGGATTCGACGAAGGAGCGTCCAGCGGGCTTGCAGCAACCACATGTGATGACCCCGGGCTGAACTCCGCTTCATCCACGGTGAAAGCCGATCCGGCGATCCACAGCGTGAAGTTGATGTATTTCCTCAGCGACCAGCACGGATCAGCTCTAGGCATGACGAAGCAGATATTGTCCTCTTTTGGAAGGCCAAACAAAGTAGTTTCGCTTTCACAACGAAACGCACAGTGTCTTCACGACATGGCGGCGGCGGCAACAACAATACATTTGGGCGGTGTTATGCAAATCTGGATTTTGATATAAGCCAAGAGGAGACTGGTTTTCCTTTGCTAAAGTAATGAAACGTTGCTTCCTTTGCTACTGTAAACAAACGTCGGTTCTCGCGAGACGAGCATATTCTCACAGGAGCTTACGCTACGCCGACATCATCCGCCAGAATGAACACGCATACGACAGTTGGCGGAAGCTAGAGATTACGGTTTATAAAGTTGTAAATATAATTTTTTTTCTTAAACAAACACATCGATTCGCTTCAGGAGGCCTTTATTCACCCTCTGGAGCCGTGTGGAGTACTTTTTATGATGGATGGATGCGCTTTATTGGACTTCTATTGGGCTATTGAAAAAAAAACACCCATTCACTGCCATTATAACGCTTGAAAGAGCCAGGACATTTTTAATATAACTCCGAATGGATTCGTTGCCCTCCTCTGCATTTAAACATGAACAAGACACACAAGATCAAGAGTCTGGCTTCACTGAGGTGTCATGCAGGTTTGGAAAGAAATTAGGCAGAATAAAAGATGACACGGTTTGTGTTTTTTGACAAAGTCATACTTGTGGCTCCCAGGCGGCGAGTGTCTCTGGCGATGTAATTGGCAAATATGATGGACCTCATACTGGTCTTTCCTGATCCACTTTTACCCATCAACAGCACCTGCAAAAAAAAACCGAGGGTCATTTCTGCACCATCTTCATGGCAGGAGGACAGGAATCTGCTTCTTAAACCTGTCCTGAGGCCCTCATCTCACAAACCTGATCCAGCTCATCAGTGGAGACGGCAGCAGAGCCATGACAGGTGGGATTCAGTTTATATCAGTGGTTCCCAACACTACCAACACGTTGTCTCACACCCATTTCAGGTCTCTGAGTCTCTAGTAATGAGCTGATGAGTTGACTGTGAGGTGTGTCTGAACATGGAGACCTGTAAAATGTGCAGTGCTGGGGTTCTCCAGGAACGTGCACTGGTTTATAGCAATACTCTGAAACATCTGCACATGAAAACGTGATGTCTGCAGCAAATAGCCAATCACATGGATCAGTGTGAATTCCCTTCGCAGACAAGGATTATCCCAGAGATCTTAAAAACATACACACAGAAAGAAGCAGCAGCAGTGATGCCATGAAAGCTTGAGAGGACTGCTGAAAGAAAGTCTAAATATAGCAACGTGAGTGAAAATGTATACTGTTATGGCAACTTTAATACTTTGTTTCCATTTTGTATTGCCTCATTGGTGGCTCTGAATGCACTTTAAGTTATTTATATCAAATCATGATAATTTCTTGCTAGTATTATTTTATTTTTACTTATGTATTTCATGTATATTCCTGTTTAATTTGTTGATTATATTGTAATGTTGGTGCCCCCCTGTGGTGACACAAATTTAAGTATTTAAAGGGAGAGCGAATCATTCAACAGCTGTGAGCATAAAGTGCCTGCATGTTGCAGCCTAAAAAATGGAAAATAAACTGTTTTTTTTTTTTCAAAAAGAAATGACTGGACTGCTTGTACTGCTCGTTGATACTAGCCCCTGAAGGGTAGAAGTCAAGTTTAAAGTTCGAGGCTTCCACATATACAGTTTATTATTTAAATTGTTTGTAATTTATGGTCCATAACAAGGTTAGAAATGTAATCTTTGCAATTTCAAAAGCTTTGGACATTCATTCTAAAGCTTTTAGTTTTAAGTTTATATTTGGCCAGTGAACAGATGTCTGTTCTGTTTCTGATGACCTCCACATGACTGTGATACTTCTGACAACAGCACAAAATATTTCGACTGATCACATCAAGTGTAGACAGTGTGAGTCTGAGGCCGCTGATCATATAGTGTGTGTGTTTGTGTGTGTCTGTGTGTGTCTGTGTGTGTCTGTGTGTGTCTGTGTGTGTCTGTGTGTGTCTCTGTGTCTCTGTGTCAATAAATATGGATGAAACCATATTTTGACTTTTTGAATTTGAATTTTTTTTTAATCTTTGAAACCGTGATGTTTGAGACGATTATCATACCGTGAAAACCTCACACGTTACAACCCCAGAAAAGACAGCAGAACACAAAGGATTTTGGAGATTTTTCTAGAACGTTTAGTTTGAAGCTTCAGCTTTTGGTGTGGCAGGCCAGAATGATGTTTATGCTCATTTTAATTAAGGTTATATCATCATGACTGACTTCTGCCTTCATTTTTTTTCTCTAATCTGAAACCGGACCAACCTGCTCCTGTGACTGTTTGCTATCGCTCATGCTACATGCTACTCGGTTCGATCCGCTGTACAACGCAAAGACAGACGTGTTTTTCCCTAAATGTCCAGATAAGTGTGGAGGGCAGTCAGTCAGACTGTTGTGTTTTTGTGCCACACTTCTTCCCTCAGATCTCAGACAGCGAAAGCAGACATGAAGAGCGCTCAGCCGAGGCTAGCAACTCCACACCAGCGCTTAAACACGACAGAAGTGTCAGAAACAGTCGACTGCGGTGAATGTAGTTCATGCTGAGCACTATCACGTACCTGATTAAACTCCCCATCGATGTTTACATCGCAGTTCTCGTACGGCGACCAGAAGCACGTGACTGACCGCCGCTGTCTCGCGATAACTCGCGGCTTTCACGTGACTCGGAGCTGAGGGCCGCATGACGCTGTAAAGAGAAGAAATGAAGAAAAAGCAAAGTATAACATGTATTTATACAGTCTATGATAAGATGTTTAATGCATTCCCTTTCTTTAGCTGCTATAACCTCCTGAGACCCAGCTGTGGAGTTTTTGTCTCTGTAGTGGACATTATATTTCACCGTGACCGCTCTCTGGCTTACATTCATTTAGTGATCAATTTCAAAAGCCTTATGGAAATAAGATGTATTATTTAAATCTGACTAATCTTCACATTGTTTGTCGTAAATCAACATCTCAGGAAAATATTATGGGGTTTCAAATCAAAATACGACTTTCTATTATGAAAGTAGAAATATCTATAGAAATACTTTCTATTATAATAGAAATATCTATTATGATTGATTTCATAGGACTAAATGCATGTTTATTACGCATTTTGGGAGACACAACAAATGAACATCTCAGGAAAATATTATGGGGTTTCAAATCAAAATACGACTTTCTATTATGAAAGTAGAAATATCTATAGAAATACTTTCTATTATAATAGAAATATCTATTATGATTGATTTCATAGGACTAAATGCATGTTTATTACGCATTTTGGGAGACACAACAAATGAATAGGGAAAGAAATTATATTTCAATATTCCTATGAGATATTAGATGTTATTATGAAAATCTTGCCAATTATTGCTCTCATTATTACACTTCTTTTTTCATTACATGTTGCCCCAAAAACACATTAATATGCACATTATAAACAGTGTATACATGCATTGTACATAATGGGAAAACCTGTTTTTGTGCACATGTTGCAAAAAGCAAAACGGTATATTAAATCATTCTGTTATATCTTTCATAACATAGTTGAGAATAATTTTTATACAAAGTTTGGGATAAAAAATAAAAATAGATTGGGGGGTTTTTTTTATCAGTTTTTTTTTTTGCCTTTTCATGTATATTCATGTCTTTTTATTTATTTTAAAAACAGGACTTTTTAAAGTGTCCTCTACAGAGGACATAGCATATCATATGAATAAAATATAATTTTTCATATCAAAAAGGTTATTTTTCTATTTTTTTCTTATGCTCTAAACAATGTAATGACATGAAGAAAATACTACTAAATACTTACTATGTTTTGCCGGGTCTCAAGAGGCTAATTCACAAATATCTCAACTACAATTAAGTAGAAATTAATTGTATTCAGTTGTGTTTTAGGTACTAAAACAGTCCAGTAAACCTGCAAATTGAATTGTAAATAGAAATCGTGACGGTCTTCAGACGGAGCGTAAACATCAATAAGCACGGGACCATCAGCTCCCTAAGTTATCTGTTAATTCTGCTAAACTTCAATTACTCAAACTAAACTATATAAAAACTAAATAGAAATGTGTTCACAAAATATGAACTAAACTGAAACTAACAAAATGAATAATACAACTAATAAAAACGAAACAGAATGTTACAGCAAATTTGAAAAGGTTTCTTAGAATCAAAGTGTTATTCTATTTATCGTTCTGTCACGCGAATGAATGAAATGGTCAAATGAAACGATTTAAAATGGGGCCAAAATTCCATTGGAATTTCTTTTTATTATAAAGGAAATGTTGGAATTACACGGTCTTAAAATACAGCAACATTTTTCAAGAGAATGCTTGTTTATGAACACTTTGTTAAGATACATTTGTGGGGTAAAGAGACATTTTAGCTTGTAGAAAATGTAAATATTACAGTAACTGTGCATTCAAAACACATATTAATCGAGATGAGAATGTCCTGTAACAGGGTGGACATTATTACTAAACTATTATATAATACCCTGAGCTGGACCAATGTATTTTTCTTGTAGTCTAGCAAGCCCATCTTCACATTAAATGATTACATCATGAAAATTAAAAAAATTAAATGCCACCGAATAGTAATAATGACCCATATAATGGTAATAAATTATATATAGACATTTTATACCTATTTTCAGGTATTTTACAGACTCGAATGAACTTTTCCACATTTTAAAAATGAGACAAACACTAACTCGTCGTTTCAATACTGAAAAATAATGACCTCTGCTTTAACTCACATTTGTATTTTAATCTAATTTCTATCTGGTATAAAATGGTTTCCTCATCCGAACATAATCTCACACGCTAGTTGTTTCCTAATGTTCTCAGCACATGATTGGAAATATCTATTATGATTGATTTCATAGGACTAAATGCATGTTTATTACGCATTTTGGGAGACACAACAAATGAATAGGGAAAGAAATTATATTTCAATATTCCTATGAGATATTAGATGTTATTATGAAAATCTTGCCAATTATTGCTCTCATTATTACACTTCTTTTTTCATTACATGTTGCCCCAAAAACACATTAATATGCACATTATAAACAGTGTATAGATGCATTGTACATAATGGGAAAACCTGTTTTTGTGCACATGTTGCAAAAAGCAAAACGGTATATTAAATCATTCTGTTATATATTTCATAACATAGTTGAGAATAATTTTTATACAAAGTTTGGGATAAAAAATAAAAATAGATTGGGTTTTTTTTATCAGTTTTTTTTTTTTTTGCCTTTTCATGTATATTCATGTCGATAAAAAATAAAAATAGATTGGGGGGTTTTTTTTATCAGTTTTTTTTTTTGCCTTTTCATGTATATTCATGTCTTTTTATTTATTTTAAAAACAGGACTTTTTAAAGTGTCCTCTACAGAGGACATAGCATATCATATGAATAAAATATAATTTTTCATATCAAAAAGGTTATTTTTCTATTTTTTTCTTATGCTCTAAACAATGTAATGACATGAAAACATATTCAATTCAACTTTTTTTCTTCTTCTGGTAGTCAGGAGGTTAAGTACATCATTTCTAAATAACTCAAAACTTGTAGCAACTTTAATAAAATTAAATTTTTGGGTAAATAAAACTACCTGTAATCAAAATATTACGCAAAATTAAATTCTGTGTTTTGCCTTAAAAACACCTAAATTAACAATGTGATAATCAAAATCAGGTATTACGTTCTTGTAATTAATCTCTCATTCATTCTGCCCCAAAAGCAATTAAGAAATGTTCCTCTCTCTCTCTCTCTCTCTCTCTCTCTCTCTCTCTCTCTCTCTCTCTCTATATATAACACCCAGCTCTCTATCAAGCAGCCCTGTCGCTGTAGAAAGCACCCAAGAGCAGAGAAATTCAATGTAAGACTTTATTAAAGAACACGGCACAGTGTGATGTTTGTGCTTTTAGTAGCTAATAAAATAAAGAATTAGTCACAAATACCAGTGTGTATTCTGTCTCTTCTTTACTCCCTCTCTTTCTTCTCTTTTTCTGCATCTAGTGGCTATATCTAGTGACAGTATCCCTGCAGACACAACACTTTCTCTGCAGCGTATCCCTTTAAATGTAGGATACAGTCTTAGAACATTGCAACACAATTAATACCATACCCTATGTACTAAAGAACGACAGAATTACTTCAAGGAAGCAATTTACCTCTTTATATAAAATAAATAACATTAATTAAATAAATGGTGGATCCATCCATCATCCATGTATTTACTTCCTTTAAAGGGTGCTTTCTTGCTAAACTCTTAAAAATAAAGGTGCTTCAAAAGGTTCTTCAAGCGATGCCATAGAAGAGCCATTTTTGGTTCCACAAAGAACCATTCAGTCAAAGGTTCTTTAAAGAACCATCTCTTTCTTAGCTTTTTATAATCTGAAGAACCTTCTTTCGCCACAAAGAACCTTTTGTGAAACAGAAAGGTTCTTCAGATGTTAAAGGTTCTTTATGGAACCATTTAGACAAAAAGGTTCTTCTATGGTATCGAGAAGCACCTTTATTTTTAAAAGTGTAGACTAATCTCAGGGAACAACCAATGTAACAATAATGCATTGTTTTGATTCATGAAACACGAAGCACCATGGCATTATTTTTTTCAGACTTTTTAAAGTCTCTTATCCAAGCTCGTTGTTCTAAGTTGAGTTTGCTGTTCATTCTCATAAGCATGAGGATGTAAGCTTAGTCACTTTAGGCCATATCATGTGATGTTGCCTGGCTTCCTTTCATGAATTGCGGACTGGATTCATTGCTTCAACATTACGCAGGTCTAACACTCACTTTATTCTCAGGGAACAACCAATGTAACAATAATGCATTGTTTTGATTCATGAAACACGAAGCACCATGGCATTATTTTTTTCAGACTTTTTAAAGTCTCTTATCCAAGCTGGTTGTTCTAAGTTGAGTTTGCTGTTCATTCTCATAAGCATGAGGATGTAAGCTTAGTCACTTTAGGCCATATCATGTGATGTTGCCTGGCTTCCTTTCATGAATTGCGGACTGGATTCATTGCTTCAACATTACGCAGGTCTAACACTCACTTTATTGGAATTTTAGTCAGACATTTATATAAAAACATGGACATCTATATTTTAAATGCCACAAAACATTTCATAAATGAAATTATGGAACAAAGTCCCCCCCCTTTAACAACAACTAAGAAAAAAATTATTCTTTTCACTCAAATGGGATTTCCTGGGTTTCCTGATATCATATAAGACAAAAATCTCATGCACTTAAATACACACATATATTAAAATTAATTGATGTAATAAAATTTTTTTTCATTGACTGTGACAATATACAGTATGCTTAAAAATAAAATCTTCTCCGAAAAATAAACATTTGCACCAAAACATTTACAAAGGAGGCCTTCCAAATCTATCCAAAACATTTTTCTGTAAATGCAATTAAAGAAATAAGTGGACAACATCCACAAAAATCACGCCCAACATCCACATCAGTACAAAAAGTGAAAGTGTTTGAACAGGGTACACCAGATGAAGGATTTCAAAATGTACTTCTCTCACCTTATTTGTTATGCAGTATTTTTAGGCAGCACCATGCATATTTCCACTCAATGCACTCAAATTTAGAATGCCAATATGTTTTAGAAGATACTGGGCAATGCTCTGTAAGTAACTTCCTAATAAAGTAATTATTCCATCTCCTATCAGTAATAGCAACCCCTCTAACCCTCTATGGTATGGAGTTGCCATATGGCAAGAAGGAATTTCTACTCATTTCCTAATTATTCTAAAAAAATATATATATATGCATGAGTTCCGAGTAGCCTACATACTGTAAGTCTAAAAGAAATGTGCATGTAAATAGAAAAGAGAATGTTTATTTTATAGAAAAACTTCTTTTTTGACCATTTCCCATTGTGGTACAGCGTTGCCATATAGCAATCCGGAAAAAAAAAAGTTTTCCTTTTTTTCTTTTTCTTTTTTTCAAAAATCTTTTTTCAAAAAAAGTTTTGATTTGTATAATTTAAGCTATTTCATGTAATAAAATCTTATTTGAAAAATATATATATATTTCATGGTTAGAACATAATGCATACCATAGAGTCTTAATTGCAATATCAATATATATATACACAGATGTATTGTCGTCTCCTCTGATCATCAGCAGCAGCAGCAGCAGCAGCAGGGGCGGCGGTGGGCGGGGCTAAGCCAGTCACGCCGAGGATGCTGCGCCTCCATTGGCTCGTGTCAGCCCTGACGTCACGATCATGATTAGAATTGATGATCGGACGTTTTGATTTCATTGTCTAGCGAGGGGATTGGTAAAGAAATCTGCTGAATTCGAGGGCTTCGTTGATTTCCATACTCTACCAAAGGTATCTCTCCCGTTTCACCTCCTCAGCAGTATTATACGAACGGCTAATGTCATACATTTAGACCAGCATCGCTTATAAAATATTAATATTAATAATAATAATAATAATAATAAAAGTTTGGCGCGGTGGCTTTGGCTCCCGGGCCTGTCTGGTCGCCTCGGGAATTTCTCTCCTTTTGTTTACCGCTTCGGGACGCCTTTTATTGAGTGTGTAACCGCAACGGACGAGCCGCGGCGGGGGTTAGCTGCTCGATATTATGATTATAATCACACATATTTTCTGCACATTCATCTCTGACCCGATGGATCCGAGGAGCTGATGGGCCAGCAGGATCTGTGTGTGTTTGTAATGGCTGCTAAACCGCATCAGCACCGCTAGCACTGCTCTGCTCTGCTCAACTCTATCCATAGCATTACAGCAGGCTGGCGGAATGAACATTTCACTACACGCTGTGATGAAAGGCACACAGAATCTGTCATCTGCTTCTTTGAAGGACAATACTACGTTTTATAATAACAACAACAGCTGTAGTAAATATGACAGGGATTATGATTACCATGACCAGTGATTTAAGTTTTTTTTTTTTTTTAATAAGCAAATTATGATATATTATGTGGAAAACTCCATTTTAATATTTCAGACTCTAATAATCAGGTTTTTCCCCCCAGTGCTGTTTGAGTCAGAGCTCAGGCATGTCTGGGAATGGAATAAAGGTTTGATTATAATACTAATAATTAGGGCGGTAACGATACCAAAATGCAACAATATGTATTGTGTACAATTCACCCGAAATGAAAATTACTGTGTGAGAAAAAATTCAAGTTTACAGAGTTTTAGTGTCATTGCTACATTAAACTACTATATATAATGTTGAATATAATGTATAAATAATGCAATGGGGGAATATTTGTGTGTCCTGTTATTATACATTATTTTAAATATATCTAGTCAGTGACTAGATATTCTGTATTTTTTTTTTAGCTTCAGAATCATGAATATTTTTATTCTGGAGTCACCATTGTCCTTTGCATTGAGTGACCAGCACCGAGTCCAAGCATATTCATTTCCACCCCAATTTAATACCAAATCTAGCATTTTAATCAACAGTACATTTTCTGTTAACCTTTTACCGTGTGTCTTGGGAGTATCCCAAAAATATTGTATTGTGTGTTCAGTGTTGTGATATGTATTGGATCCTGACAGGCATCGTTACTCCCCTACCACTAATAATGCTAGTAATTTAATTACTGTTATTGTCTTTTTCAGCTCTGCGGGGTCTGACCTGGAGTGAGCAGAACGTGTGTGTTTCAACATCCCTCCAAACACAGCGTAAGAGCAGCTAAACGTGTCGCGATGGCTGGATGCTGGTGAGAATAGACGGTGTGTTTCTGCTGTATGCTGAGATTAACAGTAGCTGAAGCTGATTCCTGGGGTCTCTCAGCGCATCCATCAGAGGGATGGAAAAATGGCTGGAAAAGAGGAGCATTCACACTGTGAGTATGCATTATCAGATCGGCTCTAAGCCTTTCACATCACACTGCGCACAGCATTTGTGCTGGGGGTTCAGTGGCACAATACAATATTCAACAAACACTTTGGATGATTTGGATGGAAACCCAGCCACTGTTTCAAGGGTATAGACTAGGGCTGCACGATAAATCGAAATGGAATCGAGATGGCAATTAGGCAGAATCTGTGATTGTCATGCGTATCTTTCAGTGAAGCACGGTTCTGTGATCAGCAGTAAATCTCCATCCAAAGGCCAGAGGGCGCTCTCACGCTGAAACTCCAAATACGCCTCGCAGAAGAAACCCAGAAAATGCCTATCGCTGCAGCTGAATAAACAGAAGATTCAACTGCTTTCATTGATTCAACGTGACTAATAAACACGGTTTATCCGAGTTCTTATTATTATAATTTTCATTCAAATAAAGTATATTTATATTGCAATGCCTTTATCACTGCTTAAATATTATGACATATGTTGCGTGCCTTATTCTGTGTAAGAAGCCACAGCATCTCACAGAAGGATTTATTTCAAACACTCGACTGACGTTATGAAGTGAGTTTGGAGTAAAAATATGTTATTAAATGTGGTATTTTCACATGCTTTCAGATGGAGCAGCATTTACCTCACAGAGCCGGAGTTCACTGAGAAGCTACGCAAACAGCTGTCATTATCGCCAACGATTTCTTCGATTTCAGAATCGTGCAATAAAATCGTCTGCAAATTTTTTTTTTTTGCGTAACTTGTCAGTGAACTACGGCTATGTGTAGTAAATGCTGCTCCATCTGAAAGCACGTGATGATGATTTCCTGCTGATTACAGAACCGGCTTTACTAACAAAATGCGCTTGACAATCGCATTCGATTAATCGTGCAGCCCTAGTATAGACACAAAACATGTGACGTGATTTTATGGTAAGATGAGGCTGGTGGCGCAGAACTGGAGCAAACTCCTCATGCATCATCCCATCACTACAACCTGCAATAATAGATGTGGTTTCACCAGATCATTCATGCAAGCTCTTTAACAAAAATGCAAACATTATGCCACGGATGATAACATGGCTTTGCATATTGTAATAAGATGTTCCTAGCTGTGCAGTACTGTTGTTTAATTTCTATGCATGATGTTCTCCTGTCTTACAGATGAACCTGCGGTCTGTATTCACCGCCGAGCAGCAGCGGATCCTGGAGCGCTATTATGAGAGCGGCATGACCAATCAGAGCAAGAGCTGCTTCCAGCTCATCCTGCAGTGTGCTCAAGAGACCAAACTCGACTTCAGCGTGGTTAGAGTAAGCCTGCTCGTTTTATTCATTTGTGACCCTGGAGCGCAAAACCAGTCATAAGGGTATATTTTTTGAAATTGAGATGTATACGTCATCTGAAAGCTGATAAATAAGCTTTCCATTGATGTATGGTTTGTTAGGATAGGACATTAATATTTGGCTGAGACACAACTATTTGAAAATCTGGAATCTGAGGGTGCAAAAAAATCTAAATATTGAGAAAATCATCTTTAAAGTTGTCCAAATGAAGTTCTTAGCAATGCATATTACTAATCAAAAATTAAGTTTGCATTTGTTTTCAGATTATTTAGTGATTGAGCATCATGAGTTTTCAGTGACTGATACCCATAAAAGGCAGGATGATAATTAAATGTAAATAATTTTATATGTGAACAATGTTTACTCAAAATTCACCAAAACATGAAAATGTGCATTAAAAGTGATGAATCTAGCAGTAGATAGTGAAACTGTTACACATGCAAAACATCACTTCTGTTAATGGGTCGAGTGCGCTTGGTGATCGGTCAATGCAGATAATTACAAAATGGCCAAGTCTGTAGACAAATAAACAGGGATGCGTTAAGAGGAACGATCATGACCCGGATGTGAACTGGGGTCTTTTGGTGAAAACCCTAAAACAGCTTCAAAAATGAGAATTAAAACCATTTCACAACTTGTTTAAAGTAAGCTTCATATTTCATTGCTATTAAATTCTTCATTGTAAGTCCCTCAGTGGCAGCACAGGGCTACAGCCGAGGGGGACATTTTCAGTGAATTAGGACTTAAAAATTAGTCTTTTAAGTCTGTGTTAATAGCTTGAAGGTCATATTTATACTAGTACATTTCTAAACACTAACAGAATGCACTTTTAGAAGATAAATAAGGGATAATGTACATTATTTAGCGATGACAACAGGCTGGCTGTAGATTATCCTGCTTATTACATGGCTAATAATAATTGAACACAACGTTTTGATTTGACTTTTTAGTAGCTTATTAGTATTTTATTATAAAGCGGAGAGTTCCGGTGCTTGATTCTGATTGGCTGAGCCGTGTTCTAAGCTGTTCTAAATTACTCTACAATGTAACATACACCTTTGTTTACGTTTGTCTGTTGTTTGGCAACCACTTTGATGGAACCACAGCTGTTTCTGAGGAACTACATTGTTTGGTGGAAGAATACTGTTTTTATTAATATTACACTTTATTTGCTCTGTTTTATTTTGTGAAACCTAACTACGTATATGGAATAACCGTTTTATAAAAGCAATAAGCCCCGTGAAGCCGTGGTTTACAGTGAACTCCGCTTCGTGTCGTACCTAACAACGTCCCTTGGCTGTTATAAATTCACTGTAAACCACGGCTTCACAGGGCTTATTGCTTTATTACCTCACTTGTAACAGTTCCTAGCGAGCGGCTTTTAGTCTAGTCGAACAAACAAGTCCAAACAAGCAAACATGTCAGTAATGGATGTTTTAAAGTCCTCCCGCTTACTACACGATTAAGGCGCGTTCACGCCAAGGACGATAACTATAAAGATAACGATAAAGATATAGTTATAAAAATCATTCTCAATATTAAAGAATAGCAGAGTCCACACCACAACTATAATGATAAAGACACAGAGAAACGATATCGTTGGAATCACTTTATATCATTATTTTTATAGTTATCGTTCTTGGTGTGAACGGGGCTTTAGTCAGTATAAAAATAAAGGCCAACTAAAGAATTACATTGGCATGGCATGCTGATTTGAGTTCGAAATTGTTTAAAAATCTTATTTTTTATATTATCTTAAAGTTTGTACTAAGAGAAACAAATCTGTTCAATCTGCTCTTCATGCTAAGCCTGTGGCACGGGCTTCTACTTTCACGGTTCCTTAGTTGCCAGTTTGGAGCTGGGCAGCACTTTAGTTGTGTGGAAAAAAAGGACACTGTTTAAAAATCCTCCTTTTCTGGTGGAATGGATCCACTTCTTCAAACCCAGCCTCATGGCTGTGCATTTCTCTACTTTTGTCTCTTTAGACATGGGTAGGGAACAAGCGTCGGAAGCTGGCGTCTAAGGCCGATCAGAACGGCGCTGCTGCTCACGCTGTGTCCCATCAGCATGTTTCTTGTGCATCTGCCGGCTCGGTGCTGATGGCTGAGATGGGGGCCATGCGGAGCATTCAGCGTGGCCCCCCGGTGACCCACCTCCTCCCTCCGCAGGCCTCGTCCTCCTCATCCTCCTCTTCTCCATCATCTTCCTCCCCGCTCAGCGACGTGATTCTGACAGGCATTTACGCCAGCTGCTTCAATGCTGCTACTCACAATAGGACAGGGATGAAATCATTGCCCACACACTCAGAAATAGAGCCGGCCGCTCACGATTCTGCGAACGCAGCAATGCATCGCACCGCCATCGCAGCCGGCATGCATCGGAGAGCCCCCATCATCCCCGGCTCCAGTGCGCTCAAGTGCAGCCAGACGCTCAAACCCTTCACCTCCAGAGACTCCGCCGGAATCGCTCCCAGTTGGGCCGAACAGTGCAGAACCTCCCAGCGTCCTTCATGGCCTCAGACGTTCCCACAGAAACCAGCCCCGGCACAAGGCGGCCCCGCAGACGCTCAGATTCAGCATGTTTTCACCCGGTCAGACCCGGCGGGGAGGAAGACGAGGCCGGTCGAGGCGTCGGAGGTGTTCTCGATCGCGATGGAGACGGCTGACGCTGATGACGAGTACGCCAGAGAAGAGGAGCTGGCTAACATGGCGCAGCAGATGCAGTGTGGTAAAGGCTGTGTGGATGGTGGGCGGAGCTCCAGCACAGCTTCCTCTTCCTTGATTGACAGCCCGGGACTCACCTGTGCGCTCAACCCCTCAAACTCTGCTCTCTTTGGAGAGAAAGGAAGTCAAACCAGCAGCTCCTCACTGAGCAGAACATCCTCCCCCAGCAGCTTCCCATTAAAACTGCTCTCGCTGACATCTTCTAGAATCCCCTGTCTCAAGGTAAGCCACAAATTACGATTTATCTTTACACAGTGATTAATTCACACATTTTCTTGACAGGCTTTGTGAGTCTTATCCGTATGCTGTTGCAATTGTTGTACTTTACAGTAGGGGTCGACCGATATGTGTCTTTCAGGGCCGATGCCGATTATTACATATCAAGTAGATCGATAACCGATATTTTGAACCGATATATATATATATATATGGTGTAAAAATGAAAATTAATGTCAAAATTAAGAATAACAAAAGCTCTGACAAAAACTGCCTTCACTGGTGTTGGTTGAGTGTAGTACTCCCACACTGCACTTCTCACTCGTCTTCCTCTGTGCATCCATCTACAATAAGGGTAATATAAAGAGAAAGTTAAAAGTGGGGCCACTGTATGCTTCATGATTAAGCCTATGAATACTGTACTACAGCTAAACAGCTTGGGGAAATGTAAGTATTTGGCTTCAATAATTTACATGTTAGAAATGTATGTGTAATAGCATAACCTCTCATAATTCCTCATTCATTATTTTCTGATGACTAAAACATAATCTACAATAGTAGAGGTGACTATTCAATTCATCATCTAATGCACATCAAAGGATTAACTTAAACAAAATAAATTGTAAATAATTGAATTGTCTTCATAGCTATAATGTAGAAGTTAAGAAGACTGCAACTATTTTCATGAAACTATAATACTAATAGCCTTTTACAGGCACACTTAGTTCAATAGCCTATTGAAATGTCTTGGCCTATGTGACACTAGAAATTTCAGTTAGTTTTAATTTACAGTACAGTGCAAATTAAGGCATAAATCAATTTATCTTTTATTCAGATGAGAGTTAAACTTTATTTTTTGGCAAAGAGTTTACTATTAAAATTAAAACATGGAAGAAATAGCGTATTGTGTGATTTATTCTTTTGAACAAAAGTTGTAATAATTGTTGTAGTAGTATTATGCATATCATACTGCACCACAGTAATATATTTCTGATCATTTCTTTAAGCTAACCCAAACTTATATTTTGACGCGCTGCTATGAGGAACTTTTAAGTTTCTTTAGCCTACCCATTTTTTGTTTTTTTTGCGGCCCCCGCCACAATATCAAAACTGACCACCACAAATAGATTTCCCAAAAGGCTTCGACTTCGTTGAATAAACATGAGAACTGCACGTTTCAAAATTGAAACCCAGTGCGGGTGTTTTTATATCACTGTATTTCTATTATTATATTATTGCATGTAATATCTGATAAAGCAGCGTTTGTGAGCGGAGCGCTGCTTTGTGTACAGCGTTACGGGGAAACCTCGATCTCTACCTCTCCAATAGCGCCTCCTGTTGCCAGAGAATGAGTTTGCATATATATGCCTCCACAAGTCTGTGGGAAACACTGCGATAGTTTTACTCAAATGATCATGAAGTGACTCTCAGAGTTCTGGAGATGTTGTTCATGTATTATGTCCTCGTGTAGTGATACGACAGAAGCTGAAATCACCGCGAGTGTCGCACACTTTGTATGTGTAGAAAACAAAACCGCGCGTCTGTGCCATTTACATACACAGAGACATGCAGAACATGCAGGATTCATATTTAAATAGTATTTTTGCGGCTTAATATTTACAGATACTAGTCCATGATTGGTCTGACTCGTGACTCCCAACAAATCAGATGAGCGGGGGGCGGAGACTGCTTTAGGCCACAGAGTGGTGAGTTCTGACAGGCTGCATCAGAGCCAAAAAGCGTGTTTCAAAATTGTTATTTTATCGGCGAATCGGTTTTGAAAATGACTGATACCGATAATCATAAAAATGCTTAATATCGGCGCCGATAATCGGTCGACCCCTATCTTGACAGGCTTTGTGAGTCTTATCCGTATGCTGTTGCAATTGTTGTACTTTACAGTAGGGGTCGACCGATATGTGTCTTTCAGGGCCGATGCCGATTATTACATATCAAGTAGATCGATAACCGATATTTTGAACCGATATATATATATATATATATATATATATATGGTGTAAAAATGAAAATTAATGTCAAAATTAAGAATAACAAAAGCTCTGACAAAAACTGCCTTCACTGGTGTTGGTTGAGTGTAGTACTCCCACACTGCACTTCTCACTCGTCTTCCTCTGTGCATCCATCTACAATAAGGGTAATATAAAGAGAAAGTTAAAAGTGGGGCCACTGTATGCTTCATGATTAAGCCTATGAATACTGTACTACAGCTAAACAGCTTGGGGAAATGTAAGTATTTGGCTTCAATAATTTACATGTTAGAAATGTATGTGTAATAGCATAACCTCTCATAATTCCTCATTCATTATTTTCTGATGACTAAAACATAATCTACAATAGTAGAGGTGACTATTCAATTCATCATCTAATGCACATCAAAGGATTAACTTAAACAAAATAAATTGTAAATAATTGAATTGTCTTCATAGCTATAATGTAGAAGTTAAGAAGACTGCAACTATTTTCATGAAACTATAATACTAATAGCCTTTTACAGGCACACTTAGTTCAATAGCCTATTGAAATGTCTTGGCCTATGTGACACTAGAAATTTCAGTTAGTTTTAATTTACAGTACAGTGCAAATTAAGGCATAAATCAATTTATCTTTTATTCAGATGAGAGTTAAACTTTATTTTTTGGCAAAGAGTTTACTATTAAAATTAAAACATGGAAGAAATAGCGTATTGTGTGATTTATTCTTTTGAACAAAAGTTGTAATAATTGTTGTAGTAGTATTATGCATATCATACTGCACCACAGTAATATATTTCTGATCATTTCTTTAAGCTAACCCAAACTTATATTTTGACGCGCTGCTATGAGGAACTTTTAAGTTTCTTTAGCCTATGTATGTAAGTGTTTCCCATACATTGATTTATTTGTGGCGCCCGCCACAATATCAAAACTGACCACCACAAATAGATTTCCCAAAAGGCTTCGACTTCGTTGAATAAACATGAGAACTGCACGTTTCAAAATTGAAACCCAGTGCGGGTGTTTTTATATCACTGTATTTCTATTATTATATTATTGCATGTAATATCTGATAAAGCAGCGTTTGTGAGCGGAGCGCTGCTTTGTGTACAGCGTTACGGGGAAACCTCGATCTCTACCTCTCCAATAGCGCCTCCTGTTGCCAGAGAATGAGTTTGCATATATATGCCTCCACAAGTCTGTGGGAAACACTGCGATAGTTTTACTCAAATGATCATGAAGTGACTCTCAGAGTTCTGGAGATGTTGTTCATGTATTATGTCCTCGTGTAGTGATACGACAGAAGCTGAAATCACCGCGAGTGTCGCACACTTTGTATGTGTAGAAAACAAAACCGCGCGTCTGTGCCATTTACATACACAGAGACATGCAGAACATGCAGGATTCATATTTAAATAGTATTTTTGCGGCTTAATATTTACAGATACTAGTCCATGATTGGTCTGACTCGTGACTCCCAACAAATCAGATGAGCGGGGGGCGGAGACTGCTTTAGGCCACAGAGTGGTGAGTTCTGACAGGCTGCATCAGAGCCAAAAAGCGTGTTTCAAAATTGTTATTTTATCGGCGAATCGGTTTTGAAAATGACTGATACCGATAATCATAAAAATGCTTAATATCGGCGCCGATAATCGGTCGACCCCTA